TAAAGCAAAACGTCTCAATCAACGTGAGTCACCAAACGGCGTTTCTAAACCACCTAGTCAATCGCGACAGTCCACAACTGGACCAGAACGGCAGCAGCCGGCCAACACCTTAGCAGACAAACGCGCGTTACTACAACGAGACGCGATAAAAATCTGGCGTCGCGTCATATCCCGCATTTCTTTTCTCCGCTCCGACCTTGCCGCCGCGACACTGCTGCAGGCTGCTACACCTGTAGCCACCTGTCGTTTTCGTCGCTCTGCGTCTCTCACGGGGCGTCCCGTGTAGAAACCTGTAGGTGCGAGAGAGACGGAAACGACTCTTAGGAGTCGGTCCGCAGGATGCCTGCAGCGCGGCGCTGGACTGTACACACACCAAACTACTACTTTTCAAATTCCGAGGGAAACGCGTTGCTGCGCTGTGCGGCCCGGCCGAGGCTGCCGAGGCCCATCGCCTGTCGTCAAACTGCGCGCCAGCGCCGCCAGCGCTGCAAGGCACTCCTGGTCATGTGCCCACTGTTCAGTCTGAAGGAGCAACAAGAGCCACTGACTAAAAGTCAGTGCGAGGACGAGATTGGCTGTCGGTGCCTGTCCTGTTCATTGCGCATGTGTGCATGTGTGCGCGTGACGCATTTGGACCCCTCGGCGGCGCTTGGCAGTGCCTTGGCAGTGCAGTGCCGGCAGTGCTGCCACCTGTTGGTCGCCGCGGGCGCGGGTCTTTGGCGCCGCGGGCCGCGGGGGCACCCGGGGGCACCCGGGGCGGGGGAGGGGGGGGGGGAGCAACCCGCTTAACTGGACGGAGCTCGACGACGGCGCGGCTCGCCAGGGCCCGGCCCGGCGGGGGACTATTTAGCACTCTAACTTTGTTCCGAGTCCAGGCAGCTCGGCCCGCTGGCACGTCGGCGGCCAGGGCGACCACGGACTGACGCAGGCCGACGCACACGCCGAGCCAGGCTGGCGGTGCGTCCCGGTTGCGCAGGTCGCGGAGGGAAACCGAAAATTCCGCCGGAACGTCTGGGGCAGTGTGTCTTCCGCAGACTGATTCGCTGTCTCTCTCGCACCTCTCGCCCCGTGAGTGCGACCGAGACAGAGCGACGAAAACGGCTCTCTGGCCCGGCCCCGCGGCGACGGCGGTTCGTCCACCCTTTATTAAAGGCCAGCCACGCCCCCACGGCCCGCGCAGGCCGAGGCGCGGGGCCCTCGGCTGCCCCACTGCTGGCCCACGGCCTGGCCAAGGCCCTGGCCCGTCCAGGCCGCGCCTGTCCACTTCGCTTTCCCTCTCAAAGATCGTCGCAGAATCGGTCGCGCGTGAAAGTGCCGCGGCTACCGGTAGCAGCGCGCGCCTTGCCCCGGCCTGCCCAAAAACCCGCCAGGCCGGGCGCGCGCGCCGCGGTGGAGACGGTCAAGTTGCAGGCCGCGGAAGGCGGCGGAAGGCGCGCGCACGCGGACTTGAACCCGCGACCTTTGGGGCGCCGAGCGAGCGCGACGATGAGGACGACGGCGCTCGGCAGCACTGCGCTGCGGGCGCACTGCGGGCGCACTGCGGGCGCACTCACACTCGCAGCACGGCGTCGCGGACAAACTGCACACCCAGGGCAGTAGAACCGAGCGCCCTGTTCAAACACCGCGCCGCGCCGCCGTCGTCGTGGATTGCATACCGACGGCCGCCACACTGATGCCGTCTCTCTCTCTCGCTCCCCCACGGCACGCCCCGTGGGTGCGAGAGAGACGGGACGATCCCCGGAATGAGCCTTGCCGGCCGCGTCGGCCGTGCGTCCTCCTAGAGACGGCCATGAGGGCCGGCGAGTATTCCCCTGACCTTCACGGAGCCGCCCCGCCCCCTCCCCCCGCCCCTCCGCACGCGATAGCGCGGATTTGCCAGTGTGGTGGTCCGCGGTCCCGGACGGTCCCCACTAATACATGCCGCACCGTCATACACTTTGTCGCAAACCACACAGACGCGCGGGCACACACAGACACACACAGACACACACACACACACACAGAGCCAGGCCCGCTCGGTCTCCACGTGGCAAGGCCGCCGCACTGCAACTGCAGGCTGTGTACTGACAAGGAGGGGGAAGTACAGTAGTGCAAGTAAGTACAATCGGGCAAAAAATAAAAACTTGTGAGTTGCAGCGCGCTCAACGAACAGGCCGAACAGGCCCCCCCCCCCTCCTGTTCCCCAGTTCGCGCGCTCGCGTCTGCGCCTGTCCGCCCGTCCGTCTGGCCGCCTGTCTGTACCGCGTGCGTGTTTCTTTGAAAACGCAAGATTGCTAATCCGCGATTAAACACTTTGCCGACGCTGGCACGCACTCTCTCTCCCTCTCTTTATTACGACCGCGCCCGCATCAATGAAAGAAAATTTCGCTGAGGCAGCGATCTCTTTCTATCTTGGTGAGAATTCCGCATAGCTGAAACGGACCTATCTCCGCTGTCGCTACGCGCGCTACGCGAGGCGACGCGAGATAACGCCCAAACGCTCTGCAGTTTCTCAAATCCGGCCCGCTAATTCTAGACGCAAAAAAATGGGGTCAGGTGAGTGAACGCGGGTGCCACTGGTTCGGGAGGTCAATCTTAAGAAGCACCGGTTCTTTAAATATTAACTTTAAAAAAAGTGCAATCAAAACTTAAATTCGAGTCCTTTTGACTGAGAAGTCGTGATGTACTTGGTCACCACGATGTACGAAAGAAAACCAACTAAATTTCGGTCGATATGACTCCAATTTTTTTTCGCAGCGTCTTGTCAGTTCCGGGAAATAAGTTTTTTACCGCGTGTGATTGGGCTGAATTAAAATAGGAACGGGCGGTATCTCAAACCCGCCACAGCTTTGGTAGTGTGCAGATCCCTTATCTTACAATAGGCGAATAGCATAATTCATTTCGGGTTCGTCTGGCAACCGTCACGAGATTCGGCCGTCCGAGCAAACCCACGCAACGCCGCCGGACCGCCGCCAAAGTTACGCGGCTTTCGTTCGGTCTCTTTCCTTTTTTTGCGCACGGTCATATCAGCAAAGTCTGAGTGATAACGTCAGCATGGGGCTCGGCAGGTGCATCGGGTGGGCCAGCCGCAATCTTATGCACCTAGCCGCCAAAAAAAAAATTGAAAAAATTAAAAATAAAAGGACGACATGAGCACGGCGAGCGCGAATCTAAATACAGAAAGCGCGACGTGGGCGCTGGCATCTGTGCTTTCGCGCAAACCGTGTCGCGACACTGGTAGTCCATGACGCTTAATGACAGCAGCACACGCATCGCTTCCTCTTGTAGTTTTCCCGTCAGCCAATACGTCTCCGGATGCACCCATCCTTCTCCCGCCAAAAATGACAAACAATTTTTTTTTCATTCTTTTTTTTTCCATTTTTTTTTAATCCCCTGGCGAACAATCTAGATTATCGCGGCCTGACGTAACGCTGCAGTGCAGTGCAGGGGCGGTGGTGCACTGGGGCGCGGTGCGCGGTGCGGCCGTGGCGCGATGCTGCTCCACCTCCCCGAGAGCGTCTCCGTCGTCGGCGAAAATGGGGCACGCCGAGCGCGCCGAGCGTGCCGAGCGCCGAGCGGGACGGACACTAAACTTCAGCTACTTGAGCAACAAAATCAGCGACTTTAGTACGCGCAGCCCCACAGCGTTGCCAGGCCGCAGTGTGACTGTACATGCACGCATGATAAGGCCGCCATCGGACCAGTGCCCGGGGCTGCCCTGGGCTTGTCCCCTCACGCCCTCCCTCTCTCTCTCTCTCTCTCTCTCTCTCTCTCTCTCTCTCTCTCTCTCTCTCTCTCTCTCTCTCTCTCTCTCTCTCTCGATGAAAATTCGCGCGAGACGGCGTTGCATCTGTAGATATTGTCCCGGTCGAACGATTTTTCCTAATCATCTCACGACCCAGTCCTTCGACGCGTACGCCTCCGACCCCTCCTCGGCACAATCAGAGAAACCGCGGCTAAAAGTACCAAGAGCGGGGGAAAATAAATTATTTCAAGCAGATCAATGCAATTACTGGCCATGACACCGGGCGGGAGATAGCCGGCAGGGCGGAGTACGACAGTGCAAAAAATTGCAATAATGTTTGCAGTGGCGTGGCGGCAGCAGCGCGACAATGTGAGGCTTGGCGATGGCAACGCACTCGGCGGTGCTACCACCAAAAGAGGAGAACTTCACACTTGGAAGTGTGTGGACTGCTAACTCTGCGCGGAGACCGACAAACTCCGCACACCTCCGCATTTGAAGTGTCAAGTTCTTGATTTGACAGTGCATGCGCACCCCGAGTGCTGCAAGTGAGCCTCCCCTGCGCGACCTTGGGGAGGTCAGTACGATCATTGTCATCGCGGCCCCGTCTCGATAGTGTAGGTACATCGTGCGCCAGTCAGCCGGTCGGCCCGAAGACACCCCTCCATTTTCCCTTTCAGCCAGGGAGGAGCCTCATTTGTAATTTTTCTTTCCCGAGCCGCGCCGCTTTACACGTGTAGGCCGATGTGCACGCACGCGGCCTGATTAAGTGTATTGTTCGGATCCCAATCAGCAAGTCAGGCCGCCCTAAGCAAGCGTGCCGGCTGCCCTCTCGGCGCCCTCGGCGCCCTCGGGGCAAAGAAGGCAAGCCCACCGCACAGTGGGCCAGACGACCGGTGGAGGCGGACAAAATTCTAGACGCGTTTCGAGCTCCAGAGTCGCGAAATGGGACTCCAACCGAACGTGTGACCCCACCAATGGTTGCTCTCCGAACGAGGGATCCATTGGTGGGGTCACACGTTCGGTTCGAGGCCTGTTTAGCGACTCTGGAGCTCAAAACGCGTCTAGAGTTTTGCCCGCCTCCACCGGTCGTCTGGCCCACTGCGCGACACTGCGAGGCCGCCGAACCGGCAGCTCCTCCGAATCGAGGCATTACATCCACGAGTCTCCGCCGCCACCTTTTTCCTCCGTCCGCAGTTTTCCTTCTTGTTGTTTTTGTTTTTCCCGTCTGCTTTTATATAATATCCCGCACAGACACGTTGCCGCCTGCCTCACTCACCTGGCGTTCTAGCGCTGCCCAGCGACTCGGGCGACCACTGTGGCCTTCGAATCACCACGGCGCGGCAGTCTGCAACAAAATGGTCAAATAACACGTATTAGAACAGATAGACTCACACAGACAGACACACACGTACGCACGCCCGCACGCGGGCGGACGGTTTATTCGGTGCAGAACTCCCGCGCACTCGCTGAGCAAAGGACAACACTGAGAAAAGTTAGGTCAGATCGACTTTTAAGAATACACTTTGGTGTCATAGTTATTCGGGCTGAATCTTAGTGAAGGAATGCATAGGGCAGGATAAGACTCGGAGATAATTAACAGCCAAATTACAGCCGATTTGACTGAACTTTACTACACAGTGAAGGGGCGGGACACCGGAGGGGGACACCGATCGCTGCGACGTGATTTACGATCATGACACCGCAGCGTGAAATCAATTTCTTTTCCGCCGAAAATGTTTTTCATATTTCTTTGCAGCGGATCCTTCAGCATCCACTCTTTTACGATTTTTATAAAAATGATGTTGTTTTCGTTGTTGTTGTTTTTTGCGGTGTGGCCGAGGCGCCGGGACGCCAAAGGTGACGTCCTCGCGACGAGCCGTTGCCGGAGAGTTGGACGCTGGGACGAGACAAACTAGCTGCGTTCCAGTCTCCCCCCCCCCTCTCTCTCTCTCTCTCTCTCTCTCTCTCTCTCTCTCTCTCTCTCTCTCTCTCTCTCTCTCTCTCTCTCTCCTCCCCCCTTCCCCCGCCACTTTACGAGTGGTAGAAAAGGATACAAAATTGGCGCGCTGTCAGGGCGACACATCCTAATACATCCCGGCCGCAACGGACGGACACCCCGCGTCGAACGGCGTCCCCGCGGGTTCTAATACCGACGCGTTTTGCATTTTTTGTTTACAGTGATGCGTTCTGTGTTTCTCTTGCTTGTAAAATAATTCGACAATAAACCGGCGCGGAGGGCACGGCGCCACAGCGCACTGCTCCTACCGCCGACAGCAGACCGAGAGTCGCTTTCGTCACTCTGTCTCTCTCGCACTCATGGGGCGTCCCGTACAGGTGCGAGAGAGACGGAGCGACGAAGACGACTTTTGGAATCAGCCCGCAGGTACAAGGAGCAGGTACAGTCGTCCGGAGTTTCGTTCGGAGTGTGCAAGCACAGTGCAAGCACACTGCGAGCACCGCTGCAGGCTGTGTGCACAGTGTCTGGGCCAAGTGCGCTCCTTCAAGAGTGTGCCCGAGACTTAAATACATTTTTAAAAAGTCGTTTTTTGAAAAAACATTTAAAATATTTGAAAACACTCCAGCAGATGTTGTGCGGTGAAAGAATGCACAACAAATTATGGTGGACATTTTCAGCATTTTCAGTCTGAACTTTTAGTGTGCACATGCACAGAACCACTGCAAAAAAAATAATTCCAACGCGAAATATATCCTTCGATTTTAAAACTCGGAAGAGCCGCAGTGACGTGGCGCCGACAGGTAAGCACTCAATGAGCGCGCCACCAATGGGATGGGCCCAATCGAAACTCGTTGGAAATCCGTACCAGAGTGACTCCCCCTTTTTTTCCCACTTCACCAAACTGCACCGCTGACGACGGGACAGCCGACAGCCCCTTGCCTTGCCGTTCCCGCCGTGGCCGTCCCCCGGACCGCCGACCGACCGCCGGCCGGCATTCCGAAACGGCGTCGCTCTGTCTCTCTCGCACCTGTGCGGCCGTCCCGGGACGACCCGTCGGTGCGAGAGAGACGGAGAGAGACGGCTGCGCCTTGCTGCAGTCCGGTTCACTGACCTGTCCGTGTGTCCGTGACGAGTTCTTGCCGTATTTACGAGGCAACGCGCGATGCGCAATGCGCTGCCCCACTCAAATTTTCCCGCTGACATGACATGGCGGGCTTTGGCAGCGAGACGACAGCGAGAGAGAGAGAGAGAGAGAGAGAGAGAGAGAGAGAGAGACGCGCCCCGCCGATAAGGCGACACTGTGAATGGAAATACGTCCATTTCCGCGCCTGCATCTCCAGCACAGTGTTTCAAACCTCCCACTGCGAGAGTGAGTGCAGTGCGTCGGCGGTATTTTGATACAAAATTTCACTCGCCGAGTCCCATTTAGCGACTGGAGCTCAGAACGCGTCTAGAATTTTGTCCGCTTCCGACCCACTGAGCGACGTAGACGCCGTGGCGGTCCACCGTCCCGTCGGGCACGGCTGCGTCCGGGTTGCCTACCGCACTCCACCGTAAGGGGCCATGGCGCCTGCTAGGCAACCCGAACACAGCCGCGTCTGGCGGGACGGTGCACCGCCACGGCGTCCGAGTCCGGCAACAAGTCCGAGTCCACGGCGAGCGGGCCTGAAGGGCCTCGCCCGGGTCTCTGCGGTGCCGCCGGCACTGCCTGCACTGCCTGCAGTCCACGCCACTGCGAGGAGCGTGCAGGACATGAACCCTGCACATGGCTGGCCCGGCCCGGCCCGGCCCGCCGTATTGCGAAGGACGGGTTATCTTATCGCGCGCAGCGAAACTGCAACAGACGGACTGCACTTACTCTAGAAGCCACCCAGAGCGGCGCGGACAGGGCGCGCGCGCCGTTCGAACGGCCGGAGGGCAGCCGGCAGGTTCTGTCTCTCTCGCACCCTTTCGGCGAGCCCCGCGAGTGCGACAGAGACAGAGTCTCTTCTGAATCGCTCGGCACGGCCTGCGAACGGCAAACAACGCCGCCCCAAGGACTGGCCACTTCCGCTCGTAACAGTGGCGGTGCAAGGCGCGGGGCAAGGCGCGGGGCAAGGCGCGGGGCAAGGAGGCCAGCCCTCCGACCGGCACCGCGCCCCGCCACGTCGCGCACTAACCCCAAGGCGCAGCCCAACGAGCAGCCAAAGGCGCCCAAAGGCAGCGACACGCGAGCCGCAAACTTCGTTCGTCGGTTTTAGTCATACTTTCATCCGGACTGGAACCAGCAAGAGTCACTTTGAACCCAGAGAGCGCTTGCGTCGCGGATCCACAGCGCGATGGGATGGAGCAAGTAGCAATGCTTTCCTACTTGAGTGAAGTATGGCCTTTTGCCTACCTTTAACCGGCCGAGCGTCTGACTCGGGGCCGACGCGTCACCGTCCAGCCCATGTGGCAAATCGAACAAATTGAAAAATAAGAAGACGGGAAAACTGGACCAGTGACTTGCAATCGGTATCTCAGCTTGCCATCGGCGGCCGCCCGTGCCTGCTCCAACCGCTGCTACTGCTGCAGCTACTTCTGCTGCTACTACTACTTCCACTGCGGCTGCCGCTGCTTTCCCGGTCCATAATCCGGCAGACTGGGCGGCTAAGCGGACTACAGCCTCTCCGACAGTGGTGACTCGTTTTCGAGATTGAATTTGCAGGCCAAGACGCAGTTTCGGGCCTACGAGTCCGTTGACCATGAAGGCGGGATGACACTGGTAACACTAAAGGGTTCGCCGTTGATTCCTCAACAATGTGGGTGCATACGTGTACATTTTTGAAAGCGAATCAAATTCGCCCAGTGCGTTTTTCATAACACGTTCAACCAGTCCACCTTCCGCCGTTTACTTCAAGCCTCCTCTACTTGAGCCATCAGTCTAGAAAGCAACGGCGAGACTTTTCCAACTCCGAGTCGCCAGAGGACTAACTACGTACCGGTAAAAAAAAACTGGGTGATGAAGTCATTCTGACCGACGCGCGCACACTCTGAAGGATCATGGACTTTTTGCACATAAGTACTGACGTATTGTATACGTGTAGGTTGTCTACAAATTTGTACACAAATTGGGTACAATTTCATAAAAATTTCAGCACAATATGGAAATGTTGTTCCTAATTCATGTTTTAAATTGTACATGCATATATACTCATGCACAAATGGCAGTAGTTCTGTACAATCAAAGTGCGTCATTTTGGTGTGCAGACGGCACAGAGTTAGGCTCCTCTTCGCCTCAAAGTCTGCAAAGCAGGGGCCGTTGTTGGTTATACTTGTGAAACGTCAGGAAAGGGAGGCGCTCTGTCTCTCTCGCGCCTGTAAGGGACCTGCCATGCGTGGGAGAGACGGAGCGGTGCGCGGCCGTGACCCTGGTAAAGACAACCCGTCCGCACAGAAAGTTGTAAATGCCAGACAAATGCTAGACCGGCTTGCAACTTGGGACGCCTCCATTAGCAGACAATGCACACGCAGTGCTGACGCAAGTCGCGCTGACAGCCAATCAGAGCGCGGGTTGCGAATGTGCGACCAATCAGCTTGCAGCGGGCACCACCCGTTGCCAGGCCGACCGGAACAATTTCGGGTGGTAGTGGGAACCCCTAACCCCAACTCGAGAAAGGTGCCTTACTACGCCTTGATAACGGCACGCGAAGCAATTCTGCGCTCAGAGTTTCTTCTCCAGCCGATTTCCCAGTGTGCGCCATTTGACTCTGCTCCGCCTTGTTAAGGCCACGAGAAGCAGTTTTGTGCCCAAAGTTTCCACTCCGGCGATGCTAGCTAACTGGAATGCGCCGATTGTGTGACTGGCGTCGAATTAAACGAGGCGCCTCTATCCTGTCGCAGCTTCTCGGCTCACCTTGACGCGCATCGAGTCGTCTTCGCGCCATGCGTGCGAGAGAGACAGACACACTGGCGCCACGCGCTGCCGCCAATCGCCGACTCATCGCAGTGCGACCAGCAGACCGAAAGTCGTTTACGTCGCTCTGTCTCTCTCGCACTCGTGGGGCGTCCTGCACAGGTGCGAGAGAGCGACGAGACCGAGTCCCAGAATCAGTCGGCTGCTGGCGGGCGAGCCGGCGGACAGTCAAATGGCGCGCTTTGGTGATGAGATGAAGCCTCCCGCGCGACAGTGGCTCCAAAACCTAACCTCTTTCGCCTCTGAAAGCAAGTTCTCGTTCGTGAGCCGCCGTACGGAAATGGAGATTTGTACCAGCCAATGGGAATGCACCCTCGGGGACAAAAAAGAAACGCTTCGTCTTTCCCACTTTCCATCACATCGGTACACAGACAGACAGACAGACAGACAGACAGACAGACGGATGGACAGACGGATGGACAGACGGACATGCAGACAGTTAGAGAAGGGTAGGGTCTGAAGTAGCAACATTACGAGCGGTGATACCACCAAACCTCGGGGGCGAACAGGGGAGAGAGAAAAACAGCGGCAGTGAGAGAGAGGGAGAGGTGGGGAGGGAGGGGGGACTTGTTGGCTCATGTTTTTGCTCACCCTCCACTCCTTTCTTCCCAAATGACTCGTCCCCTGATTTGGTCGTCTGCTCCAGCGGGGCTGCAGCAGCGTCGCCTCACATATGGAACGCATCGTACACTCCGCCCCAAAATAAAGCACAGCCCCACCTGCTGACTGATTCCAGGGGTCGCTTGTCTCTCTAATCTCTGTCTCCCAGAATCAGTCTACTGCGGAATGATCCGAAGGCGGACCGATTAATACCGTAAACCGTTCAATCACATTGTCTAATTAAATGTATTTGTTCGTCCCGATTGCTCAACCGGGGTAAGGTTTGCTTCTTCTGCGCGACATAACACAGTTCGCCGTATAGTAATGACCTGTCTAGTGAATATGGAGCGGCGGCGCTCAACCCGAAGGCAAACTGTGGATAAAGCGCATTCGCAGTTCCTGGGAGCGCCTCGCCGGTGGAGTGACGGATTGACGTCAAAAGTGCAGCCGTCCGTTCGGCACTGCCTTAAGCGCCTTGGACACGCGCAAGCACACTAGCGAGTCACCCTGCCGGCCAGTACAACACTGATTCCGTGGGCCGTTTCGTCAGTGTGCAGGGCCTGGCCTGGCCAGGGTCTTGACGAAGTCGCAAGCGCTTCGGCGGGCTCCGGACAAGCCGCTGAACTAACAAGGGGCCGCGGCCGGCTGCTCACCTGGGGCGCTGCTGGGGGTGTGGGGGCGGTGCAGCTTCCTGGGCACGGAGACGCTGACGGCGTCGAGGCCCACGTCGCGGTCGGAGCCGGCGCCGCCGCCGCCGCCGCCGCTGCTGCTGCCGGGCCCCGTGCCGTTGATGGAGCTGGGCGACGCGGAGGCGGACTCGCAGGACAGCGCCATGGAGTCCTGCGCGGCGGGCGTGCCCCTGCCCGCGTCCACCGAGGACGGCGACATGGGCGGCAACGCGGTGGCGTTACCGGCGAGGGGCACGGGGTGCCGCGCCTCGTCCTGGGCCTGGGCGCGGCGCAGCGCCGTCTGCAACGCCATGACGCGGCGACGCTCCGCCGTCAGGCGGCACTTGTCGCAGTCGCAGTACCGGTACTTGCAGTAGCGCTTGTGCCCCTTGAGGCCGATCTTTAGCCGGTGGTTGCGGCAGAGCGCGCAGTTCGGCGGCGTGCGCGCGTTCCCCGAGCTGCTGGGCGCCGACTCCCGCTCGCGGGCCGCCTGCGGCGTCGCGGGCCCCATGTCCAGGCTGGAGGACGACGACGACGGCTTGCCCAGGTTGAGGGCCGTGCCCTGCACGCCCTGCTCCATCACGCTCCAATCCAGTCTGAGGCCGGTGGAGTGCGCCCGGAAGTCCCGGAAGTCCACCGGTCCGCCCGTCAGCACCGAGGCTCTGGCATCCCAGGACGACGCCACGCTCGCCGCCACGGCGCCGTCTGCTGGACCACTCGCGTCGTCTGCTACCGTGTCCCCCGCCGTGGCTGCGCTCGCGCCTTCCACTGTTGCACGCGTGTTGCCTGCTGTGGCACTCGCGTCGTCTGCTGTTCCACTCGCGTCGTCTGCTCTTGCACTGTTCACTGTTGCACTCGCGTCGTCTGCTCTTGTACTTGCACTGTCCACTGTTGCACTCGCGTCGTCTGCTCTTGCACTTGCACTGTCCACTGTTCCACTCGTCTGCTACTACACTAGTGTCGTCTGCTACTACACTCGCGTCGTCTGCTGTTCCGCTAAGCGCCTGTTCGGCTGCGGCGGACTGGCCGGTCGGAGGGGGATCTATTCGTCCTCACTGCACTAATCACACACCGGTCAAAAGTTGCCGCACTTCACTGCACTGACTGCTGCACTGTTGCACTTGCACCTTGTTCGCCTGTTGCACTGACACTGCGTCCGGGCGGCAGGGCAGGGGCCGACCGCGCACAGTGTGGCGGTGCACACGCGGTGCGGCGCGGGCCGGCCGATGCGACGCGCGAGCCGTGCGGGCCGAGCCGGTGCGCGGTGCTCCGCGGTGCTTGGCGACGAGGGGCGTACACTGTACGCCGTGCGACGCTGCGACGCCGTGCAGGACTGGGTAGCCTCCTCTAGACGCTGGCGCGCTGCGAGGCTCGGCGTGGCGTGGCGGGTCTGCCGTCCGTCCCGCGTCCCGTCCCGCGCTCGATCCACTTGGCGTGGCCGTGTGGCTACACTGTGGCTGGCGCTGGCACTCCGTGCTGGCAGCCTGCTGCAGTGGCCGTGCGCCGTGCGAGCGGTGGGGGCCGGGCCGCCGGTCTGAGTCCCGTCCCCGTCCCGTCCCGCCAGTCCCCACGGACCAGCCGCCCGGCCCGCCCGGCCCGGCCCGGCCGCCCGGCGACGCCGCGCCACGCCGCCCACGCCGCCGCGCGGCGCGTGGGGCGTACGGGGCTCCTCGCCAAGCGGCGAAGCGGCCACCACCATGCCCGCCGCGGTGGGTGCCCGTCGTCGCCGGGTCGACGGCCAGGGTCTGTCCCGTACCGGGAGACTGATTCCGAGAGGCGTTTTCGTCGCTTTGTCCCTCTCGCACCTTAACTTAACGCCTTATGAGTGCCTTAGAGACAGAGCGACGAGAACGACTCTCGGAATCAGTCTGCGAGACTAAGGGGTCTTTCGATCGGGAAGCATCCGATTCGGACTGAACCGATTGAACCTAAGAAGAACCTGGGCGCGAACCCACGCCGCGCCCCACCAAGAAGACTCTTCAACTCGGCTTTCTTGTACACTGTCTTGTTTCCCGGTTGATTACGTCCGCGCTCCGTCGCTGCCAGGAAGACGTTCCCCACGACATCTCACTGGCTCGCACACACTCACACACACTCGGCATGGGGGTGGGGTGGAGGTGGAGGGGGACTCGCGGGCGTATCTCGGCGGAAGGGTAGCTGTGGTGGGGGCACAAGTGCAGTAGCGCAGCAGCGTGGCCGTCGCAGATACTCCGCGCCGATAGATGCGCGATGCGCGGCGGTACCCCGCGCCGCCTGCAGCAGGAACTGCACACTATTTCGGCACAGTCTCTCTCGCATCTGCAAGGGGACGCACCATGAGTGCTAGAGAGAGAGAGAGAGAGAGAGAGAGAGAGAGAGAGAGACGGAGCAGCGAAGACTTAACAGCGGTCATCCGACAACGACTCCGAGACACGGCATTAATTAGCACTCCCGGATTGCAGTGTGCTTGCAGTGTACTTGCAGCCGTCCGGCGGCTCTGCTTTTTGCACTCACCGCGCCGCGAACCGCGAACCTTGAACTTGAAGGAGCGGCGTGCGCTAAAAATAAGCGGCGCAGCGTGCTTCTGGAAAGCGGCGCCGGCTCACTAAACACCTAAACAGCCGACCGACCAACCAGCGGCCGCGAGTTCAAACCCCCGAGCCGCCGGTATGGCGGTGGCGGCCCTTTCCTGACCCGACGACGACGACGTCGAAAAGCCCTGGCCATCAAATGACAGCGATAAGAAGCCTATTAGCGCGGAGTTTCGCGTCACTACACCCGCTCCACCCGCACTCACTCGTGCCACAGTGTGCCACACGGCCGGCAGCCCACCCGCCGCGCGTTTTGGCGGGAAACGAGCGGCGACCGCAGCGCCGCACAGTGGACAGCCGCCTGGAAGGTGGGCTAAAAGCCACGCCTTGCCCCTGGAAGTAGGCAACGTGCTGCCTCTGCGTCGCTCTGCGTTCGCACGGCGCGACCCGCGGCTGCTGCAGCTCGCCGTACAACGCCAGGGTCTTTATGGCGCGGCGGCCAGTCGCCGACTCTGCCGGTTACAGGGCACGGTTATTGGCAAAACGTGGCGCGGCGACACACACACACACACACACACTCGCGTCGCCGCCGCCGGTCCGCTCCTGCTGCGGCCTATCAATGTTGCCACGTTGTGGAGTGGGTCGGCGACTCGCGGCGGTCCAAATCGGGCCGCGCCTGTAAGGCAAACAGGCGTAACTCGCCGGGATTATCTTCCAGAGTTGCGCGGCCTTCGTCTGGATACTACACGAGGAAAAAGCGAAGGGGAGGGGGGGGGGGTCCAGCCAGGGTGTCGCGGCCTCGGTCGCAGCAACCCGAGGCAGTGTAACGGGCCGAACCAAGTCCCACTTCGAGTCTCTGCAGTGCAGCGCTCTGCCGGCGGGGCGGCCAACTGCGAAATGTCCGCGCGCGAAACGTCCTCCGTCTAGCTCGCTTTAGCTTCGCCGCTTTGCCTGTGGCGCCCCACCAGTGCACCGTGCGAGCGCGCGCCGATCGCGCAGTTTCTCATACCCGGCGCGCGGTCCGCCGTCGTGACGGTACTGACGTAGTGACGGTGCTGGCGGGCTGGCCGAGGCTGGCCTAGGTCCCCGACTGCCGCCAGCACTGCCGCCAGCACTGCCGCCAGCGCGCTGGCGTCTTCCCCGATGGCTGCTGCGACCGCCGCGGCCGTGGCGACGCCAGAGGACGTGAGTACGGCTCGCCGTTCCCCGCGGCGCGCACCGCGAGGCACGCAGCGTCGTCGCGACGGTGTCGTGCCCTGCCGCGCCGAGTTGACGGCGTGCTTCCGTGTCCAGGACGACGGCTGGCAGCAGCACGCCGCGACGCTAAGCGCCGCCGACGAGGCGCCCCGGCCGCGACGCTCGCAGCGAGGTTATGTCGAGTCTAGGTTAGGGCCGCCAGGCCGCCAGGCGCAGAAGGAGGCCAGGCGACGATCGATCGCGGGTTCAACACCCGGCCGGGGCGGGAAAAACAAAGTGGCGAAGCCCGGCCCGCTCCCCAAACTTTCCCCGACACGTTCCGCGCCGTCCGTGCCCAGGGCCTGCATGTTGAGGCGCGCGTCGCGCTGTCGCGGCGCGCCACCCAACGAGAGCAGACAGGTTTGGCGGGACGGGCCCGCCGCCCTGGCCCAGCCCTGGCCCTGGCCTCCCCGCGCCAAGGTCACCCCTCCCCTCCCTCCCGGCTCAGCTGTTCCGCTGGCGTCGCGGGGCCCTCGGCCTCGGCCGCGTCTCGGATCCGCGCGTCCACGGCCCGCGGCCCAGCCCCGCGGCCGCCGAGCTAGGCCGCCGTTGGTCGGGTAGGTCGGAGTCCGCCCCGCCCCGCCCGACGAGTAGGCGACCCAACGTACGCGGGGCGCCGCCAAGTCAAGCCGACCGCTCTGGCAGTCCGTTGGGTTGCCTACGCCGCGGGCGCAAGCCGACAAGCTGTGCGCACCCTTCGACTCTCCGGGCGTCCGCGCGCCGTCTGTCTGTCTGTCTGTCTGTCTGTCTGTCCGTCTGTCTGTCTGTCTGTCCGTCCGTCTCCACCGGCTAATCAGCGTGCAAAACGTCGAGGAGTGCAGCATAATCCTTTTGTGTCCCGCGCGGGGGAGTTTATGTCATCGCGAAAACATTTATACACCGTGCGAGAGAGATAGCGCGGCGGCTCCGGGCGGTGCGGTGGCGCGGCGGCGGCGGCGCTTCGGCAGACAGCCGCCAGATTTGGTCGCTATCTGTCTCTGTCGCACCCCTGAGGGACGCACCACGAGTGCGAGAGAGACAGGGCGACGATCCCTCGGAATGGGGTGACTTAGACGGACCCTCCGCGATGAAGCCGCACGCTACAATCACTTCCACTCAACTGGGATTCCACTTAATGCGGCGTAATGAAAAGGCCGGGGGGGGGGAAGGCATCGGTTATGGCCGGCGGGGAGGGAGGGGGAAGGGGGCGAGTTTAAGGGCGGAACTTTTGTCCAGGCTGCCCCGCCTGACGCGCGTCGCGTCGTCGCGCCGCGGGGAACGTGAACACACACACACACACACACACACACACACACACACGGCCGAGACGCGACGGAGGACAAGTTGGCGGTCGTAATGCGCTTCCGTCCAAACATACAGATTCGCAGTCGTCCCGCGATCCTTCACCCCGCCGCCCCCCTGCGGCCGGCCGCACCTCGCGAGGCCAAACAAAGTCGCAAATAAGTTTGCAATTTTAAACTGTAGGCGGCGGCGGTGGGGTGCACTTCACGCTGCGGAACGTCGAGTCTCCTCGGCTCGTGCTGTGCGCTGAGCCACGCCGTGCTGAGCGCTTCCCAAAGCAACCTTCACCCCTGTCTAGACCAGTCTAGACGCCTTGCCCACGACGCCCACCATGGCGGCCACCATGGCGGCCACCATGGCGGCCACGACGCGCGCTTACGGGGCCAAATGAACCGTTCTGGTGTATAGATAATCGGCCGCCCCTCTCCTCTCCGCTCCCCCCTCCTCTCGCTCCGCTGCGTGACATCGTCCGGGGTCTAGACGGGGGCGTGGGCGCGCAGGGCGCTTCATGGAAGCGCCGGCAAAAGGTTGTAAGGGAGGTTGTTGCGAAGGCGGGGGCCTGTTTGCCTCGTTACCACCTTTGCCGCCAGCCTGCCTGCGGCATACGCGCCTTCCTTCCGGCTGAGGTTGGCAACCCTATCGACAGTGCCACAGACTTGGTGGTGTTCTGTACTCAGACTCGGAGGCGTGCACGTGGTATGGACTTTGGCAGTCCAAGGGTGGAAAACTGAGCGTAGACTTGGTTCTAGCAGTGTGCCGGTTCATGCCAGAAGACACTTAACTCAGAGCCTTTGTTGCCAACTTCAGAAACAAAGTCAAGACTGGCAGTTTTCGTCTACCGGCGTGGCAGCACTGCCCTTCGCAAATGGAGGGGGAGGGGTGCAGGAGCGCCATCACTGCAGTGCATAGGGTTAACGGTTTCAGTCTTGTTTTCGCTGGCGGGCGTTCTTGCGGACCGGAATGTATATATACGAGACAGCCAGTCAAGTGTGGTCCGTCCGACTTATAGAAATCGCCGCCCGCTGGCTCTCTCACTCACACACTCACACACACAAGAACACACACACGAACACAAACATACTAGCACACAAAGCATTCACACACACGCGCGTGCGTTGGTGTGTCTGTGTGCGTCTGGGCGGTACGACGCGGTACTTTTTACGACGCGTCGTAGCGGTGGGTGAATACCGATGTAAGGCGCAACGACGCCTCGCCAGCGGACTGTCTCTCTGTCTCTCTCGCACTCATGGGTCGTCCCGTATGGGTGCGAGGGAGACGGAGCGACGAAAACGGCTCTCGGAACCGAGTCTCACAGCCTCGCACGCCGGCCGGCGAGGGCACTGTAGTCGAAGAGCGCGTCCTCGCTGCGTCCCTCTCGCACCTCCACGGCACCGCCCCGCGAGTGCGAGAGAGACAGAGCGAGAGAGCCCTGTTCGCAAGCAGCCTCTGCTGCGTCGTCTTGAGACTTCTGTCAGTGACGCAAGTCACGGCGAAATACGACCCGGACGTGAGCGGGATTCGAACCCCGACCCCGCCGGCCCTCGCGGGGTGTCGGGGCTGGTGGCGCACGCGAAACGAAAGGGATACACGCCGCTCCGCGAGCAAGGCGCCATCCACGCGGGAAAAGCGGGAAAGGGCGAATTAAGGGGACGGCGCGCCGTAGTGCAGCAGTGTGCCTGCGCTGGGCCCCACCGAGGCCCCACAGTGGAGGGGGCGAGAAGAGTGCGGAAGGCCGAGAAAGGGCGCCGGCTGCACGCTGATTCCCCACAGCTCTGTCGCTGTCTCTCTCGCACCCCTTCGGGACGCCCCACGAGTGCGAGAGAGACAGAGCGACAAGTTCGGAAGCAGTCTGCCGGTTTACGACTGGTGGCGCGGCGGGGCCGGCCGGCGAGGCTGGCGGGGCTGGGGGCTGTCCTGTCCAGCAGACTGATTCCGAGAGTCGTCGCTCTGTCTCTCTCGCACGTGAACGGGGCGCCCATGAGTGCGAGAGAGACAGAGCGAGACAACGACTCTCCGTCTTCAGCACGGACTGCCGCAGTTGCACTTCACTCTTCCCTTGCCGCGACAGTCGTCCTCTCGGGGGAGTGCAGATCGCGAACGGGCACCGCCAGGGGGCGCCCCGGGCGGCGACGTGACCGCGCAGGCCGCGCGCGCACCCCACAGTCCAAGATCTCCATGTAGGTGTAGGACTCTACGGCACTCTGGGGGACGCACCCCTTGTCCAGGTGCTGACTTGGTGTCGGCGGGTGTCTTAGAGACTAGAATCGGTGGTGGCGCGACGACGACGACGACGATGACGGCGACATCGGCAGCGGAGCGAAGCGCGCAGGGACAGAGACGTCAGTGACGTCACCGACGCCACGGCGAGAGGGTCGAGCGGGCGAAGGGCGAGGCAGGGCGGAGCGAAGGGACGGGGTTGCAAAAGTGACCCGTTTAGCTCCCTGCACCGCCACTGCGCCAACACCGCCAACAGCTCACACTTTTAAGATCTCTACTTTCCCCGCTTCGCCCCTTCGCCCCCCTCGCCCCGCTCACGATCATAAACACGGAGTCTTTGTCGCCGGGCGAGTTACTGCGCCATCCCCGCTGACCCCCCACCCCCTTCCCCACCCCCCTTCGTCAGAGAGTGCAGGCTGCACTGCCATGGCACTGCGGGCGCGTGGTGGGATTTGGGAGTGAGTCCTATAAAGTCCCAACGCAGCGCCTTAGCGCCCTTGCTCGTTCCGGGGGCCGTCCGTAAAAAGGCCTGCGTCGCCTGCGCCGCCAAAGAATACACATTTCGACCCAAGAGGTTTGCGAGAAGTGGACGTGGACCCTCGACTATGGTTTGGGGATTTAGTTCTTGTGAAAACTGCATTAGCCACCCACCCAAGCGATTCCGAATTGTCGTATCGCCTCTCTGTCTCTTTCGCACCCCTTGCGGAGTGGATCCATGAGTGCGAGAGAGACGATGCAGCCAAAGTAGCGCTTTTATCCGCCCGGTTCCTCTCGGCTGCTCTCATTGCTGGTCTTGCCGCAATAAACCCGATGCACTTAGCGACCGACCCTTTTGCCCGCAGCTCGCTGTTGTGATTCCTGCGGTCTCCGACCAACGACACCTCTTTCGACATTTTTTCCTCCCCTCCAGTTTATAGTGCTGCCCGGATTACACCTCTTAATCGCTGGCTTTTAATCTCGGGTCAACTGGGATTGCCGCCCTGCGGGAGGGAGGGGGTGAGCGGGTGCGCGCGCCGCCCGTCCTCTTGCATGCAAATGAGGCTTCATTGAAACTCCGTCTCGCCCACTCCACTCCCCCGCAACAAACTGTCGGCCCGCGTCAGCGTCAGGTGCAACTTTACCGGAAGGACCACAAAAACTACTGTACGGAAAAGAAGGACACCGTTTTTTCTCCGTTTTTCTTTTTTCGTCACTCGCGTTTTAACGTCTCATCCTTGACGACCCGGGGCAGTCCATATATAAGTAAGAGGTTAAAGAGGCGCTCCATTCACGATTTGACACACGGACTTGAATGGGTTCCCCCTCCCTCCGCCCTGCACTATGAGGACCGCGTTCGGGGAACGTCCTCGTCATAGGGGGCGGTGCTGCTGCTGTGAGCACACTGGAAGTGGGACGAGTGGAACACACCCCTCCGCTCGTAAACCCGGTCATAATGTCGATTTTCGATCCCT